TGCACGTAATTCTGTAGCACAGTAGATTGCTTCATCTCTGTGATTTCACAATTCATGATGTCAGCTGGTTGTCATGGATACTTAAATCAGATTTTTTTTCAAGCGCTCCCTTTTTTCCATGCATGTACTAGGTTGTATAAACAAACTATGGCCTGAACAAACTGGCCAGGCTCTCATTCTGAAAAAGAGTTTTAAGAGCTTGGAAGTCAGCTGGATACCCCTCTGTTGGGTTTCCTACATAGAGATAATGATTTCATATTTATTTGAGAAACTGCCCTGGTTTTCCTTCAGTAGTTTTCACATTTTTACTTACTATTATTTTCCACATCTATTATAAGAAACCAAGTGCATCACAAGAAACTAAAGTGAATGCATTCCTTTATTCAGAAAACCATGACCTAATCCACTGAAATGGAGCCCTGCACAAAACCACTGAAATAAAAAATGAAGATTATTCTGAGGAACAGAAAATAGGAAAGCACCTAGGAAGAGCATGCTTAGAAATTGTTTGCAGGGCTGAAAGCTGTTATCACTGCACTTTACTTAATTAAAAGCATTAGCTGATTAAAACTTGCTCTCAGTTGTCACTCAGTGGGATTCAGGCTGGTATGTGGTTGCTTTGGGGGCTATTTTTGTTCAAATACATAAGCATCTGAGGAAATAAAAAATAAAATATTAAAAAAGTGTTTCCTTCTAATAACAGGCTGCTTGCGTTCCTTTTATATTATCAGATTTCTGCTTGCTTTAATGTATAAAATATAGAGGGGGGAAAAAAACAGAGCCAGTGTGTTGTTTTGAACCACAGAAGACCCAGGTTCAAGTCCCACTTCAGCCATGGAGGTTCCCTGGGTGACTTTGAGCCAATCGCTCTCTTTCGGCACAACCTACCTCATAGGGTTGTTGTTGTTGTTGTTGTGGGGAACAGTGGTAGGGGGGAGCTCTCTGCAAGCCATCTTGAGCCCCTGAAAAAAAGGTGGGATAAACAAATAAAATGATTTTAAAAAAAGAAAGCAAAATACATCCAAAAACACCTAACTTTGTAAAGACATCAATCATTTACCTCCCAGAGTAATATTGGGCAGTCCTTCAGTTATGTCAATACAGAGCCAATTCATAAGCAGAAAGCAAGCACATATCATAAATTGAGCACTCCAAGTGCAGAGTAGCACAATCTTTCCATCGTAATCAAATAAACTTCTTTGCTATGCCCCATGCTTGATAAATGCATTGTTGTTGACATAATGATAAATTCCATATTTTCAGTATATAAGTCAACACCACGTTGACATCTTCCTCTTCCCAAAACTGTATTAACAAACTTATGGATATTAAACCAAAATGGGAAGGTAGTGAGACAAGCCTCTGTCATATACCTAACTATTCCCACCAACATTTTATATTTCCAGCAAAATGAAGTTGACAACCAATCCTTTCTAAACTTATTATGAGGTGTCCAAAAAACTTGAAAAAATATTAATCTCATTGGAAGGTCATAAGAAACACATTTAATGTTCTTAAAATC